AACTAAAAAACGTATAACGTAGGTGTCGCCAATAAATATTTAGGATAAGTCAAAGGAAGGTGGAAGTTATTGGTACCAATATGGTCTTATTTCTAGTGGTTTTAAGATCAATTTTATATTTTTATAATTTTATATATTTTTACTCTATGAGGAAGTCTTCCCTTTCCTACCCTCATCCCCCTCTTGGCGACTCCCATCGTAATGATAATGGGACATTACAATTGGTGTTATTACACGTACATAGTAGTATTTTACGATCTGGCAAAATGCTTTAAGAATTATTACGCGTGTCGTTTGATGTTAACGCCATCTATCTAATACAACATGAAACTATAAATGCGTGACGTATATATTTAGTAGTAGGTACTTATTTATCTCAAGGATGTTCTAAGATGTATCTAATTTTATCTCACTAGACAAATCTATTATTTTCATAGCTCTGTAACTTTTGAAATTTGAAGATATTTTTGTTTTGACATGTCTATTAGATTACTATGTGTATTACATCTATGACATCTCTAATTTAGTCTTTTTAAGTTAATATTTTTATTAAGACCTGTCTATTAAGATGTATCTATGAGGTCTACATATATAACCTTGGCCTGTACGTACAATGAAAACATCCAGAGTAGAAAACGAATGAGTAAATGAGAGAGGAAATATGGAACAAAGAACGCGGTCCTAACAAAGACCGCGGTCCAATAACATTAAATAACATACCTATCTTGATAATAAAAATTTCCCTTACAATGGATAAGCTTCTTGAAATTTTTTAACACTGGTTTTTAACAATTCTTTTAACAGTTTAGGTTACAAACTCTAACAAATCTATACTATTATAATAAAGCGTAAACACACACTTCTTTGTTGCCTAAGATGTCAACAATTACAGAATATTTTTGAATAATTCTTTTTTTAATAAAAAGCCCTACACTTGCGTCGAGCTTTAGACTATATATTTTAACGCCATTAAACTTAGGGGGTAAATGTTTTAGATAAAAACCCTAACGTGGGAAAGAGACCATAAATTGTCATTTGTAATTTGATAAATGTAAACAATAAAATAATTTTTTTGTAATTTCATGCGGATAAAGCCGCACGGGAACAGTTAGTATTCTTCTAAATTTTAGCATTTAAATATTAGTTAGATTTATAAAGTAAAGAGGAAATAATTGTCTTCATTTAGAAATAAAGGAATGAAACGAATTCATTTTTTCTGTATAATGTTGGTATGGACGTTGATCTTTTCTTTTTTCTGACAAACAGACTTGCCAACAATTAAATACTGATTTGTGATAATAACCGTTTACTGGAAATAATTGGCAAAAACATTAAATGCGTCAGAGCAACTTCTTTTCACGCAGCACAAAGTTATAAGAAAAAATTTGTATACAAGCTCTAGAACTAAAACTCGCTAAATTCTAGTTATCTGTTAATATTTTATTCGTAAAAGCCCCTTATAACGCATAGATGGTGCCGCGTTATAAGAATTCGGGTTGTAGGAATGACTGCCCTAAATCGAGTTATAGTGAGCCGTTTATAAATCGTTGGGAATGTTCATGTTATAGAGGGTAATTTCTGCGTTATACAGAGGTTCAGAATTCACTTTGAAGGGGGTTTACTGTATCTTAGATTGACAATAATGGGCATTGTTTGTAAATTATTCAAATATCTGAAGAGATAACAGTTTTAGGGATATTTATTATGAATCTGTCATCATCCATTTGCCCTTATCCCTTACACGGTCGGCACAGTATGTGCTGCTCTTCCATACATCTCTATCAACCGTCATATCTGAATCCACTCCTTTCTTAAGCATATCATCTTTCACACAATCCATCCATACTTTCTTCGATCTTCCTCTACCTTTGTAGCCATCCACATTCAATGTTAACACTTTCTGGTTTTTGTCCCCATCGCCTCTTCGCATAACATGTCCATACCATTTATTATGATCTGTACTTATAAAATCTTCTTCTTTTGTCCTCAGGTATACATTACAGAGATAGCCGTTCCAGAAATAAGAGGATGTCTCAGTTCAGTATCAAAAATACTGAGCCAAATCGGAATTCTCA